TGAATCATATGAATCTTATCCTCATCTCTTTTCACCAGACCCATCTAGACAAGGTGACAGCTATTCAGTGCGGACACTTTCTTTCCCCCCATACTCTTAAACTAAACTCCCTCTTGAAACCTTGTAAACCAGTCACTTCGTGTCTTTATTGCCCCCTCATTTTAGGTAGCCAATGTCTAAGTTGCCCATCCCTATCTATCCTGTGTACAGAAGGGATAGCATTGATACTTGATGTGAAGACTCTTTCCCTCTCTGTTGGTATTTAGAGTAACAACCTCTCTGAGTATAGCTCAGGTTCATCAAATTATAGCAATTTAGCCTTGTTTCCTTTATCAAAAAAAAAATTATTTATTTATTTATTTTGCACCCTTCCTCTAGTCGAGTTCTGATTATCAAGCCATCGAGGCTAGGTCAAAAGGGTACTGTCTGCAGGTTTGGGTGTTCTTGTGCATATCCCCTCACTTCATATCAGCTGGATGCTTCACTCTCAGCTCTAGTGCTCTGTGGCTATGTCCTTGTACATGGGCTCAAGTGTCCTTAGTTCTCACCACACTTTGGACCTTCCTCTTCTCTCTCTCATCTCCAGGTCAATGGGAATCAATGGACTGGGGTTGAACTCAGCCCATTTCTTCATTGCTGCCTTTCCCCTCTTCCACTCACCATAAGGTTCTAGATGGAACTCAGGATTCCTTCCACCTAAGGTCCTATATGCTACAAAAGGTTTGCAAGAGGCCTATTTCACTGGGCAAATTCTAGAACCGTTTTTAGGTATTCCAATCAGTTATGGGCTGAAGATGGGCTTACAAGTTTTCTCTAATCATGTTTCCCAACATTCCTTTCTATCCCACTCAAGTGTCTGTTTTACAGTAGTAGGCAAGGGAAACTAATATTCATAAGACAGTCAAGCATCTTAGTATTATTTCCCCTCTTCAAGCTATACCTAGATCCCTGTATCAGAGCCCTGTATTTCCAAGATTGAGCATGCATCACTATTTACCTCTGTCCCACTTAGCTCATGCAAACCTGTCTCAGTGTTCCCCCATCTATCTTTTTTTTCTGCCTCCTTCCCCCTTGGCACAGGATATTTTTAAGCTTTTTATTGTGAATTAGAGTGAAGGTTTACAGAGAAGATCATCAGTTTTACATTCAATAAATCACACAATTTGTTTCATCTCAATGACTGTGATCCTCTCCATTCCACTTCCTTCCTGTGGTTACCCATGTACAAATATCCTCATTCAAACTCTTTTGTATTTGTGGTATATATATCCCACTCTTCCTTCCTCACCCATTCAGCCTGTATCTCTATCCATGTTAGAACACTGTTGTTCCAAGGTTGCGTATATATCGCTATTTACCTCTCTCCCCTTTAGCCCTTCATAACTCCATGTGTCTTCACCTATCTTCAACATTTTTCTACCAACCTCCCCCTTCTTGTGTATTTCCCTCCCATCACCCAAGTGGATATGTGTCACCGTCTAGGCAATGAATTACTCTCCCTTCCCTCCCACCCCTGGTAACCATCAAAGAATGTTTCTTTTGGTATGAAAACCTTATTTTGAGTTTTTAAAATAGTGGTCTCGTATAATACTTGTCCTTTCGTGACTGATTAATTTCATTCAGCATAATGTCCTCCAGGTTCATCCATGTAACAAGGTGTTTCACAGAGTCGTCATTATTCTTCAACATTACATAGTATTCTATTGTGTGTGTATGTTTCAAAGTTTGTTTGTCCACTCTTCCATTGATGGGCATTTAGACTGTTTCCATCTTTTTGCTGTTGTGAAAGGTGCTGCTATGAACAGTGGTGTACATATAGCTACTTGTGTCCTGGTTCTTATTTCTTGTGGATCTATGCCAAGCAGAGGGATTGCTGAGTCATAAAGTATTTTTATTGCCAACTTTCTGAGGAAGCCCCACACCATTTTCCACAGTGGATGAGCCATTTCACAGTCCCACAAGCGATGTAAGAGAGTCCTAGTCACTCCATGTCCTCATCAGCATTTGTTATTTTCTGTTTTTTTGTTGTTTTTTTTTTAACTTTGCTTTTAATGCTGATATAAGATGATATCTCGTTGTTTTGATTTTCATCTCTAATGGAGCCCTGGTATGGTTCTGTAGTACAAAGCAACATCACTGAGCAACATCAGTGGTTCAAACCTACCAGTCGCTCCTCGGAAACCCTATATAGGGTTGTTACGAGTGGGAACTGACTGCAAGGCACTCAACAACAACTATGGCTAATGGTTGTAATAAACATTTCTTCATGTTTGTTGGCTGCCTGAATGTCTTCCTTGGTGAAGTGTCTGTTCATGACCTGTGCCAATTTTTCAATTAGGTTGTCTTTTTCTTGTAGAGGTGTTCTAGTTTCCTATAGATTTTAGAAATGAGTCCCTTGTCTGATTAGTCATTGCAAAAAAAAAAAAAAAAATTCCCAGTCTGTTGGCTCCCTTTTAACTCTTGTGGTGAAATCTTTTGGTGCACACAAGTGTCTAATTTTTAGGAGGTCCCAGTCATCTATTTTGTCTTCTACTATTTGTGTGTTTTCAGCAATATTTGGTAGTGTGTTTATGCCATGTATTACAGCCCCTACATTTGTCCCTATTTTTTCATTAATGATCTTTATAGTTCTAAGTTTTGCATTTAGGTCTTTAATCCACATTGAGTTTTGTTTTTACATATGACTGAGATATGGATCTTGTTTCAGTTTTCTGCAAAAAGATTTCCAGTTTTGCCAGCACCATTTGTTGAAGAGACTACCTCTTTCCCCATTTAGTGACATTCACAAGATATTAAAGGGTTAAATGTACAGTACAAGAAAAAGCAAGTAGCTTGGCCTATGTCTTGCTTCCCTTGGGGTGCCAATGACTAGTAGAGCTAGAAAGGAAAGTCAAGAGAAGTAAAAAATGTACTCACTAATATCATTAGTTGTTGTTGTTAAGTGTCGTTGAATCAGTTACAACATAGCGACCCTGTATAGGTTTTCCTAGGAGCAGCTGGTGAGCTAGAATCACCTACCTTGTGATTAAAACCGACTTTGCAGTCCGGCACATTAATCCACAGCACCACACCAGGATATGATGGTAGTGGTTATGTGCCATGGAGTTGGTTCCGACTCATAGTGACCCTGTACAGGGTTTCTGAGGCCGTAAATCATTACGTGAGCAGAAAGCCTCATCTTTCCCCTGTTTCGAACTTCCGACCTTAAGGTTCGCAGCCCGATTCATAACCACTATGCTACCAGATCTCCATGGTTCAGATAAGAACAATGAAAAA